ATAGAGTTGGCTATGAAATGAATTTTCTTGTTTAAGCGTGTGCAGATTTTCCAAGGTGGGTGGTCAACCAGATTTTGAGGTCAAAAGTCAGCGCCGTAATAATCAACATTTTCAGTGCATGTAGAGAATGCAAGAGGGTTTCAGTTTCAATGAGGCACCATCAAAATCCAAAGTTAAAAGATCAAACGGAGAGATTATCGAAGTTCATGGAGGCCGGATTGTTCGATCCACCGGAGGAAAAGATAGGCACAGCAAAGTGTGCACTGCAAGGGGACCAAGGGACCGCCGAGTTAGACTATCACCAAACACTGCAATTCAATTCTACGATGTGCAAGACAGGCTTGGCTATGACCGTCCCAGTAAAGCCATTGATTGGCTCATGAAGGAAGCTAAAGCCGCCATTGATGCACTTGATGAACCACCACTGATGAGATCAAAGGTCCAGGATCAGTCCCCAAATCTGAAGATCCATCATGAAGAAAGTAATTATTTCAACAAAGAAGCTGTAGATAACGATCCCATGTGCAGTTTGAGTTTCTTTACAATGGAAAATGGAGCTACACCATCACCTTCTACTGAGTTTCAGGCCTACTCTAATGACGAGTTTAACTCAATTCCTTATCTGAGTTATCAACAAGGACTCGTTTCTGCCTTAAATCCTTCACGAATTTTGACTTGGAATCATGCCAGTTCAAATTCAGGTAATTCAAGGGGAGGCACATCAGAATCTTTTGTTAACTCACTGCCAAATTTTGGCCACAATCAGATTTTTCCTCAAAGGGAACCCCTTCAGTCCAGCATAAATTATCCTCTAGTTTACAGTGCATTGAGCACCCCATTCACCTCCGTTGGATTTGCTCAAGATTTATCAAAAGTTATATCTGCACCACTTCATGAACCAGAGGCTAAGATCCCAGTTTCCAGCAAGCGATCTGCTACTAGTACTACTATTCTGCATTATGAATCCTAGCACCACTATGGAAGTCTTTCTTTTTGCATGGTACGTAAGTAATTACACTTTTTTTTAAAAATACTAATTCATTTTCTTTATTTTCCTCATATATCTAGTTTTTACTTTGCATTTTCAGGAGGGACTTCATGAATTACATTAAAATTACAGCAGTTTTCCCAGATGAAAGCAACTAGAATTTTCAAACAGTAGTCAATGTAATTGATAAGCTTTGCTTTGATCTAATTGCCTGTAAATCTGTGATGTCTATCATTAACCCCATCAAGTTCTATGTTACATTAATTGCATGCTTGTAATATTACCTGTTGTAAGAAGAGCATGCGAAAAGTGTCATTCTTCAGTCCTTTTGCTTTATACACTATTCAGATTACAGATAATATTTTACCCATTTTCATGGTGTAAAAATATTTAAGAATCTTGTATTACTGCTTCTCCGTTACTTCTTTTTTCTTAAAGCTAAGTTTCTTAGCTGTCAGCTCTAATTAATAAAATGGCAAATGAATTTTAAAGCTATCGCAACTGTCTTTGTAGGCGAAGAGTGTTGATTTTCTTGTCTTAAAGTTTTCAGTGTTACTTGAAAATGTCTTCTTAAAATTTATATTAGAAAAGGGAATTAAATTGTTCATAAATTATCTTAACCAATGGGGAAAGGAACAATGATTTTAGCCCCTGTTTAGTTTAAATTTTAGTAGTTTTTTATGAAAGTTAACGAAATGTTGTCGAAAGTTGTGGGTTCCATGAAATTTATGATTAGAAATAATTATTGGTTTTGATTTAAATTTTAATCAAATTTTTAAGTGAAAGAAATGGAGAAAGATGTTCCCGGGCCCGCGACTCCGGAGCTCTTGCTCTGACAGCTTCTGCTTCTTTTACCTACTTTTACTCATTTTTTTGGACTAAGTTTATGAGTTGAAGATAAGCGGACTCGAACCGTTGACATCCGCTACAGTGTAAACCGCCTTTTTAGAAGTAAAAAAAGCAGAGAGGATTGGATCTGGACCATACATTATCTTAGTTTTATCTTTCCTTTGGTTCACATTTCACCATTAATGTTCCGATTGAATAGCAGCTTTTACCTTTAGTAACTTAAAATTGTACCTGATAGATTTGCTGGTTTTTGCTAGCACAATATATTTATAACATTGCTACACGTACAAGGAAAAACACATATAATATTTACAGGATTTTGAAATGGAGAGATTTCATTGGAGGAAAAAAGAAAAGATAAAAAAAAACAGGCGAACAGCTTTTTGCCACATCAGCTTCCTGTCGAAACCCTGTTAAAAATTCCTGTACTTGCATCTTTTTCCATATGTTTATCTGGTTCTAGTTCGTAGAGAAGGTGATGGATTATAACATCTCCACGTGATAGGCTGGTGCCTATTAATTTGTGAACTCCTTCTGAATAAGTAAAAACACAGCTTATGATGACTCGTCCCGACACGTCTCAACAGTTGAGGTTGACATGATCTGATTTTAAAGGTGGGCTGGCTTACAACAAAACCTAGCACTTGTAGGGCCACACTGTTCATATATTCCAACACAATTTGATACCTCCAGTTTTTATTTGGATGCACTAGAATTACTTCAAAGGAAAAAAAAAAAAGAATTGCTTAAAATTTAGTTGAAAAGGCACAAAATTGACATAAAAGGAGGATGGATTGTCACCCACCCAAAGTTGAACAATTAGAAAAAGTTCCATGCATGTGACACTTGTGGAGAAAAGAAGCCAAACATCATAAACTAACTTATGTTTAGCAAAACAAATCATGACCATGATTTTCGGTTTCACAGTGAGCTCCGGGAGAATGTGTGATTAAAAAGGTCAAAAAAATTATGTTCATAGGAAAAATACGTGGTTAAAAATGAGTTTAAAAGAATGAAATTTAAAGAATTGGACTCAAATGAGGCTAAAATAGAAAGACTAGCCCTAATGGGCATATAGGCTGGAGCTTCTCTTTTGTTCATGTGAGGACTATCCACAAACTCTATTTGGTTGGTGAGTTGTCCAATTTCTATCTTTATAACTTCGGATTTGTAGAATTCCAAGTAGGAATTGGATCACATGTGAAGAGGGCAAATTTATTATAGGAATTTGTAAAAGCAATGCAATTATTTTAAGCCAATGTCACAACAAATTAGCCAACTGTCTGTATTTTCCAATTGTACAGCCACACTTCTGATTAACCTTTTAGCAAATATTATTAACCAACAAAATTTATGGCAAAGTACAACACCCCACATTAACTTCTAATTTAGGTTCAAAGTGATTTATTGGCTTTTAAAAAGTTGTTCTTTTTAAGATTCAGTATATGAATACGAATAATGTTATTTGTACATAAACAGTTACACAATGATTTACACACAGATAAGATGTCAAAAAGAGGGTGGACAATTTTTTTCTTATTTGGTTGAAGAAATTATAATCTAATCATATTCTATCGTATCTTGTGTTATATAAACCATTATGTAAATTTATTATGCACATGTAATACAACCATATTGAAACTATGCAATAAAGCATTTTTGACCAAAAGTGTTATGGGTATAGCTTTTTGTTTTTCTTCATCTCGATACTAATAAATTTTAGTTGGTGAGACGGAATGGTTTCTTGTCATATAACTTTCAAAAATCTCTGGATCCATAACTATTTTCAACTTCCTACGGAAATTCCTTCATCAAATACTATGTCATTTTCACCTCTAGTTGAACTAATTATACCTAAAATAAGGGAACCCTTTAAACCGAGAGTGAATATCTAGGTAAGAAGAAACACAAAACTTTTAATTAGTTACATTCTACAAAAGGCATAACCTCCCATTAATTTTCTCTTCCAATTTCGTGTCTAGATTTCAATATAATAACTACTTTTTTTCATTATAAGATCACAAGGTGAAGGAGTGCCATGGATATGAGCCGTTGAGGAAATATTCCAATTAATTGACGTTAAACAACAGGAATAAATTCTGAGCTTTATCTGATATTAATGAATGTGACAAGGCAAAGTAACATGAGTGTGACCAGTCACGTAATTTCGTGTAAAGAGGATAACAGTGTTAATCTATTTCAGCTGAGCCATGGACTTCAAGTCCTTTAAAATCAACGCCACATATATAGTCTATATGATATCTTTTACGACCCAAAAATATTTTTTCGGTCCGTCCTCCTTTATTTGGTGGGATATTTTCTCGTGCCCCTCTGATGTCTAAAATAAGTATATGATTTGGTCTGCTGTTCGATCCATTCTTTTGATTTTTCATTAAAGGCATAGCACGTGAAATTGCATCTTCATGATTATTTATGTACTGCATGCACGAAGATATGCATTTAAAGCAATCTAAAAATGTAGGTAGGAAGAGTAAATGTAACTGAAATTTTACTATGGCAGAAGCTTATTGAAGGCAGGTACAGCACAATATGTGAAAGATGAACTGCCAAATCCAGATTATGGAGATTATATATGTAGTGTCTCTCCAACAAAGCAGCTGGTAGAATAAGAAAGCCCTGATATTATAACAGCAGACAATAAAAACAGTTCGAGAACAAAGAAGCTGAATTGTTAGGACTAAAAGTTCTCGTAAAGAAGAATAGATATCAGGGGATAGTATTAAGAAACAAAAAGAAGTTTAAGGCATTGGAATTTGGAAGTATTTAATGGCATGAACAAGAAACATCCGATAAATAAGTGATCTTCCAAATAACAACGAAAAGATAATGTTGTAACTCAGAGGAAACAGAGATAGCAGAAAACCCATAAATAGGGTGCTTGTACAGCACATGAACCTGAACAACTACACATGTGCACACATTGATTTCTATTTACATAATAATAAGTCGATAACTTATTTTTTTACAAATATACGTTACAAGAAGTAAAAGAAGAAACTCACGTCCACTGTAATCACCCCATGGGAATAAACAAGCAGGAACTCAAGATCAAAGCATGGATATCCCCACCTCTTCTCTGCTGCATCACCAAATTGCATTTGAAAATCGCCTCGAAAGTGTAATGAACTATAGTGACTGTCTATTAAGATACTTCCTTTTCTCTCTTAGTTTTCACCTCTTCAGATTTGTTCACTTTTTTAGCAGCTATCATCTTCTCAGATGCTCCATATGACAATTTTCTGGCTTTATTGGCAGTCTTCCCATTAGGAGAAATTGATTTGACTGAAACTGGTGTTTTGATTGTTGGAGAATTCTTGTTTCTATTAGTCTTGCTTGACTGGCGACCAAGTGATTTCTTTGGACTTGACTGCAATGGGACAACTCGGCTTTCCCAAGGTTGAGCTGCAATCCATCGATCAATCCAGCTCCAGTCCCAATTTGCTTTGCCTATGTCATGGTTACCTGATCCAAAGTTCGGGTTGGAGTTGGCTCTCCACTGCAAGACATGTTCTTTATATTTTGCTTGGTTTTATATGACAAAAGAAATAAGAAATATTTCAATGTTTTAAAACCCAATCTGGATGTTGCACCGAAAAAGGTAGAGGGGTTTAGGATCAAAGGATTCAACCTGGGTTGAACTGGGGGTCAAAAATAAATAATTAATTATATAAAGCATTATATATGTCAAGGTGAATCACTTCTTGACATAAAAATGCAACTGAAAAACCCAGGGAGGCATCCGATGCTCGGTTGATTAGGCGGCCAGACAGGGTTTCGTCCTGGTTCTTAATAATGGTTCTTATGCTTTAACCGGACTGGTTTGTGTAGCTGGTTCCAGTGTTTCCGACTGAACCAGCAAGCATGGCCAAATTTCAAAACTATAGATATATTATATATATTCACATACTTGATGAGAAAAGGCATATGCCATGGCTCGCTCACGCCGCAATGCTGCTTCTTCTCTCTGATGTATCCTTGCAAGAGCTTCATCCATTGTTTTGGAGCCACCACTCCACTCTACCTGTCAGAAATTACATTAATTGAGGATATGCAAAATTTTTGAACAGCCCAAACCAATAAATTATTATGTTTATTGTTAAACCACATCATAAGGAATTCCAGTAAAAGAAATATGTGTTACAGTCACAATTAAAACTACTTTCAAATGAACAAATAAGGTCTGAATGCATAATTGCTATCTCAAGAACTACTACTCTGTCAAACGAGTTCAATTTGTCCAAGGAAATATGAATACGTGTATAGATAGAGGAAATTGAACTTATACTAATTATTGAAGAAGTCGTAAAAACATGTTACGTCAAATGTGGTTTATCTATGTCTCCATCTGGGTCTTGGTTTTAGTTCTCCATAGGGACAGGAATGGTACAGAAGATTGCTCAGCTACTTTCTCTTGTATAATTGAACTTCTTAATCTAGTAGCAAGAGGTTCACGCCAATTTGGCATGGCTTTTGAAAAGCCAAAAGGAGCTTTTGGGATCCAAAAACTGCTTTTGGACCCGTTTAGTTAATTTTATGAAAATACTTCTGATAGTTAAATAAAATTTTATAGCAAATTGGTCCAACGTGACTTCCTCTAAAAACACTTCCAGAATAGGAAGTATTTTTAAAAATTTGTTTTCAAATAAAAATTAAGGTAGCTTATATTGGATTTATTAACTTGTCATGTGGACCTACATACGTAATTAATTATGTACAAGCTATCTTAAAGTTAAGCTCAATTAAATTGATCTAATGATGAATTAAATTGTTGGACTTAGGGTATCTAAATAAAGTGTGAGCTAGCTAGATTATATGCGTAGAGACCGCATCCATTATGGTTGTATTTGACGATTTGTCAAATACATATGAAAACTATAAATAGGGTTATGGTTCTCAACTCATACACAACTTTTCATTCTTAGTGTTATCTTATTAACACAAAAATACAAGAAAAAACATATTAAAGAGGAAGATCCAAAACCCACAATCAACAATCAAGGAGAATTATGACAATTAAATCAAAGAACAAGACAATTAAGATTATGGAGCAATCAAGATCAAGAACCAATAATTAAGATTCAACATCCAGTATAAAAGAATTATTTCCAAAAAATTAAGGTATGTTCTACATTATTAATTTTTTTGATGATTTCATGTGGAGGATCTTGATAATAAAGTAATTAGGTTTTAAAGTTTTAAAGTTTCAAGTTTCATAAAATTTAACAACTTATTCCAAAAGCTCTTCTACAAGAAGTAAAAACCATGCCAAACGGGATAATAGTTAAGACTTAAGAATAACATGTTATAGAAACCTTCGAAAATTCACAATTTTAGTAACATACTTCTGCATAAATTACTTTTTGTTGGTTTCTTTTGTTTATTATTATTTTTTTTTTTGCCTTAAACATTAACTAAGATAACAAGGATGCAACAAAATCTTCGACTAAGAAAGTATCCAGTCTTACCTCTAGGCCATTTAGCTTTGACTCAAGCTTCGATTGATTCTCTAGCTTCTTCTGCCTGAGAAGACCTTCTGTTACCATATGCAATCGGCGAGCTCTAATCTGGGCCTGAATCTTAGTCCACGAGTGGAGATGGCCCAATGCTGTTGAGTTTTGCTTTCTAACAGTATCACATTGCAACAGGTTCTGTAACCTTACCGTTGCTTTTAGTCGACGGAAATTTTTCCTTGCCTAAATCACAAGTGCAAGTACAATTTGAATTGAGAACTCACATATTTTATAAATGAAACAAGAATAATCTAAGGCAATATAAAGATGAATTTGAATAACTCTCTCAGGGGAATAATCAGTTTAACAAGCTGATAAGGAACTATGTAGTAAAGAATGGCTTGCTTTAATCCAAGGCAAATTTTTTTTTTTTTTTTGATAACCGTGGATGTTTGGGCCAGTTTGCGCGCACCTCGACTAATTCCACAGGGCCTTGAAGTTTACGGCCGGATACTCACCTCAGTGGCCCTGAGGAGACTCGAACTGGTGACCATTGGGGAGCAAACCCAAGACCTGACCAATTGAGCAATCCCTCAGGGTTTTTAATCCAAGGCAAAATAAGAGGAACATAGTTAGAGTTATGCAATTAAAGCATGGTTTCTCAAATTATTTTACAGTCCGGGCCAGCTTGCGCGCACCTCAACTAATTTCACGGGGCCCTGAAGTTTACGGCCGGATACTCACCTCGGTGGCCTTGAGGGGACTCGAACTGGTGACCATTGGGGAGCAAACCCAAGACCTGACCAATTGAGCAACCCCTCAGGGTTTTTAATCCAAGGCAAAATAAGAGGACCATAGTTAGAGTTATGCAATTAAAGCATGGTTTCTCAAATTATTTTACCGGAACTTGTTTATGTTAAAAAAATTAATAATTTCTACATAGATTTAAAGAAGATTTCAAAATCATCCCTCTCCACCCCTCACCCCCGGCTCCGCCACTGACCGTAGGATACTGGAATATGTATACCATTAGACAAGAAAAGTCACTGATGTAGGATGCAATCAAAGAATTATAGAAAAAAGTGAAAGGGGAGAGAAGAGGGGGATATAGAACTAAGGAGAGAGATAGAAAGGGGAGAAGATTCAGATGAACGGAAATTGAATTTAAGAGAGAGAAATCAATTTATATCATATATCAAAGGTTGTTTGAATTATATCGCATCAGCCCCTTTATATACGGTTTCAAAAGACCCTATTCTTGGTAAGAAAATACTATAAAAGCTATTAAACCATTTTCTTAATTATGTTCTCTAAAACACGCGTCAAAATTGGAAATTATATATAATAATATCATTCCTAATATTCCATCAGTCACACATCATGTTCATAACCCATGTCTATAAGTCTGCTAATGTGTGGTTAAGCTTACTAGACTATAAAATATTTCTACAATTTGACCACTTGTCTTCAACAAATATGGAGAGAAATGGAAGCAACAAACTAAGTATATATTTTGCATACCGTGTATGCTCGATATGCAGTCTGAATTCGAGCTGCCGCAATCTCCTCAATGGGCATGCCAAAACCATCACGATTTTCCCCAGAACCACCATTAGTTAATATAAGAGACTCATTTTGCAAACGGTATTCTTCTTTGTGCCCATTTGACATTTCAGGTGTTGAATATCTCTGCTTTCATAATTAAAATAAAAAAATTTAAGTTGCTGCATAAACACATTTATGGGTCATGAGGTACCAAAGTAAAAGAATGAAACATAGGTTGAAAAATAATACTGTGGAGTGGAGCTTATTAATATTCGTCCACAAGGAAAAAAAGACTTCTCATATTAACTTTCTCAAAGCTTTCTTCAATCAGAAATGAATGAAGGCATCCATGGTGGAGGGATAATTAACAGAATGAAAGTATATTCAAAAGAAGCAAACCTTCAATTTTTGTGATCTGTCGCCTCTCACTTTCTTTTTAGTCATTAAATTCTTGAACCAAACTCCAGAGCCCATGATCGATGCTTAAGATAACTCACTGGAATACCCTGCAGATGATATCAGACTCTTGCGTGAAAATGACATCACTATTGAATTAAGCATTCAGTCAATGCTTAATTTACAATTATCTTGTGAAATTGTTACTATTATATATTTTGAAAATTCTAGACAATATGGAGACCATTCCAACTGGTTAACAAAACGTTTCTGGTAACTAAATTACAGAGAAAAAATGCTGATACTTCATCTCAGATTAGGGAAATTGGCTGAGTGAATTATGATCAATTCGAGGCTGTTTTGTGGCCTAGATTATCAACCAAAGCATTGCCTTTGCATTGTGAAGTCAAAATTCGGTGATTTAACAGTTGAAAGTCACGCAATTCACATGATTCAACCAATTACACACAACAAATGACAGGTTTTAACTCAAACAACTTTCGTTTGCTTATAAATTACTTTTCTAGAAGATGAGTTTTGCTAGTGTCAAAATTAACTTCGTAAACATACTCCTAATTTCATACTGTCTTTCTTCTTCAATAGAACGAGAAAATTAACAGATCTTTTAATCCCAATTCAACAAACCAAATACGACAGAAAAGTCGAAGATCCACTGAAGTCAGGCAATGCTAAATTTCTTTCAAGAATGACATAGAAATCCCTTACTTCATCCCCAAAGACTTAGTAACTGAATTGGTACAACGTATGACTTAAAACAATCAAGAAACAATCCTTAAAGCGCAACAAAACAAATCCGAAAAACCCATCAAGATTGGGATCCAAAATTCATCTCTTCAACAGTTAATAAAACAATCTTGTAAAAGAATTAGAAGAAGAAAACAATATATGGGTAGTCAAAAGAAATCACTTACCAGAGAAAGAACTCCAAATTCAAGACGCGTATCTCCAGATGTGAAGAAAATATAAGCAAAAGTAAAAATGATAGTAATGTAGATGAGTGAAAGCAAAGTGTTGTTATATATGCTTGCACTTGAAAAAGGAGAGGTTAAACTGAAAAAAGAAAGAAGAGTGGGTGGCTAAGCGGGTATGTTTTTCTCAATAGGGGTTGAACAGTGAAGAAATGGTTTATCAAAAACAAAATCGTTCTTTAAAAAATTATTTTCCTCAATCAAATGGGGTTTAACCAATGCAGTGGGGGCTCCAACTTATATCAAGAATTTTAGTTTATTCAAGAAAAAATATGGCTATATGGACAGTCTAACCAACCTCAGTACCTCACCGACATTTTGATTCTTATAGTCCTTCTCTCCTTTTTGTCTCTATCTTTCATTTTTTATATTGTAGAAGTATTCGCATTAAATTGCTACGACAGTGTTTGGAAAAAATTATTAAGAACTTTTTGAGTGAAATAATATTGGATCTCACTGAATATATGATTAATAAATGAATAGTAATTGTGAATATGTAATTGAAATTAATATTTGAATATAAGAAAAATGAATGAATACTATGAAAACATGCATAACTTCAACTTAGTGGTTGGATTTTCTTTCGTGTGCACAATTTGGAAGCATTTTCGATTATACACATTTTTGTCGGGTGAAGGTGTCAAACTTTCGATTCGGGATCCGTTTTAGAATTTTTCTATTTTGAATCAATTTAAGGATACTTTCGTCATTTTTTCAATATTTTAGTTTTATTTAGATTTGTTTTGCAGTTCCTAGTTTAGTTGAATATGTCTAAAAAATTAGGATCTCAATTTGATTACGATTTATTTTGAGCCTTTAAATATGCGTTTAGGAGTTTGTAAATGAGATGTTCATTTTTTATTAATAAGATATTTCAATTTTTCTCATTATTTGGTGGATTCCAAATATTTATCATGTCAATTGGAGCAAAATTCGAGCAAACTCTCGTTCGTATTTTACGAACAAAATTCTTTTATTATTATTCTCATTTTCATTATGCGTTATATTTGACTTTGAGCGAGTAAACAAATAACTTTTTGGTAATTATATTTTACACGAGTAAAGAGGTACATTGCTTGATTCCAATATGTTACGATTAACGAGAATTTATAATTAGGAATCAACGAATAGCTAAAACAATTATTGCTATGGATACTATTATAAACCAAAAGCAATTGAATTTGTTACGCTCGACTAATGAGGATCGATGAAGCCCACATGGCATCCTACGTGGAGGCACCCCACAAGAGGCTCATCTCCAAAGTATCGAAGCCATTTGGCCGAAGTACCGAAGCCAAATCCGAGGCTCTGCCATGGAAAGGGATGACCCACCTTCTTTGAAGATCTCCTATTGATAAAATCCTATTCGAACTATTGATGCGACCCCTATAGTGAGTAATATGTCAATCTTATCAACGTAAGTTGTAGGGTGGTTGCCCCTTTTTTAAGAGCATTAAATGCACCACAGGCTAGTAGGATCAAATTGATGCCTAGGATGTAACACTTTTGTTCAGGTGATGAAGCCAAGTGCCTCTTCATCTAATGAATATCAATTCACATGTAATACTATAAATACCCTCTCATTGTATTATTGAAAGGGTAATACAAATATATCAATTTAAAGCTACAAATCCTCCCATCTTAAGTTGAATTTGATTGGTAGAGTTAGATATCTACATTTTAGTTTGTGTATTGTTGATTGTTATTTATCATGCAATATTGTTCATATACGTTATCGATGTCAGAATATTTTTGTCTCGCGTTGTAAAGTTTCTCCCTGTTCAAATTCAAGACGCCATTGACTAGTAATTTATCTAAACGTGTTGGGATTAGCTTACAAGGACACAAGTGGACCCAATATTTGTTGTCCACGTTTTTCAGACCATTTTCAAGCCTCGTATTCTAGGAAGGAAGAGTCGAAGTGGTGGTATTACATGACCCCTGGAGGAGCCCTTTTGTAGTGGTTCTGTTATCCTCCATCAAAGGATGGAAGGAGTTTTGGTTCTGGATGAAGGGTAGGTAGCTATTGTTGAGGGAGATAAAGTCACAACTGTTATTACCCAGTATTCTGAAACTCATGAGTTGCCTTTTTTTAACTTGTTATTTGCTCGTAATAACTTTAGCTTATGCTACTCCGTCTGCAGTTTTTGGGTGCCACTTTAAACTTTTCCAGGCTGAGTGGGGCTTCATCGATGACATATACAAACGTCCTCAAATATCACGCCACTTTGACCCCTTCATTGATCGTAACAAATTCTTCTTGGACTTCGGACTGATGGCCTCCAGAGGTAAATGTCAAACTCTTTCGACTTATGCCTTATCTTTTATTGATTGAACCGATATGATGTTAATGTCTTTGCAGAAAATTTCGAGCATAAGAAGTATCCCATCCCTGACATGGTTTCCGTTCTGAGGGCCATTTCCACCATCAATTCCAGGACAATGAAGCCTTCTTCCTGTGCTGCTAAGAACTTTAGGAAAAAATTGGAGCACCTTAGTAAGGAGCATGCTGAAAAGAGTGATGATGAGGTGTCCCAGGAGAAGGGAAAAGACATGGAGAAGGGAAAAATGAGGGGGGAGCCTTAAAAGAAAAGGAAAACTTCCCACCCTACCAACTCTGATGCTGGGAACCTTGGCACAACTAGAGCCTTGACGGCTCAACTGCCTCCGCATCCACCACCTCCGAAGCTTATGCAATCATCATTTTCTGCCATAAAAGCTCAAATGGCTAGAGAGGCTAATGAAGAGGCTACTAAGGAGGTGTTGCAGATATTCGAGGCGATGGAAAAGGCACCAGTTGTTAGGACCCATTGAAAATCAGGGAGATTTCTGGCGAGGCAGGATCTTTAGATCGTCCATGTCATGTTAGACATGTTACCTATTGAAGTCCAGGCAGCAACTACAAATTTTTACAAGTTCTAGACCGAGAGGTGGTAGAACTATATGGCTACCTATGATGTAGTGGATCTGACAGCAACCTTGGTAAGCCAAAGTGCTAGGACTACATTCAAAGGTAAAATGGGGAATCAGTTAAAAAATGGCCTCGACCGAGGAAGAGGCCAAAAGGGTAAGGACCGAAGTTGAGGAGCTCAATTCTGGGAAGGTAACTAATTTGAATTCTGCCTTAGCTGAGATTGAAGCTCTGAAGAATGAAGTTCTCGAGTCCCGGTGCGAAATGACTTCCTTGACCAAAAAGGTGAAAACTTCAAACAATCATCAGAAGCTTATGGCCTAAACTCTAGAGAAGGCCAACTTAGAGAATGCCGGCTTGAAGGACTCAGTTGGGTTCTAGGAGTCCCAGATATAGCACTATGTAAAAGAGGCAAAGTAGGCCAAGGTTGATGCTCAGAAAGAGGGAGAGGAGACGGTGACAGACTATATTGCGAACTTCCACTTGACGGAAGAGTATCAAAGCTTCAGTGTATACTGGAAAAGGTTCCATTATGTTGAGGTAATGGTTAGGGTAGGGGAGCTTTACCTGGAAAATTAATGCTGCCGAACAAAGGGTAGAATTGTTCGAGAAAGTGCCTTAGACCCCTAGTGATGATGTGATGGAGGAAGACAGTGCTGATGTCGATCAAGAGGAAGCTCTTGAGGACGAAGCTTTGCGCCAAAAAGTTCATGTTACTGAAGCACCTACTATTGTTGCGTTGGACTGCCAGCCATCTCCAGCATAGTATATGTCTTTAAATTCCTATGTAATGGCTGAGGCCCTCCCATGTACATTAACTTTTATTAATGAAATATATTTTGCTATACTTGTTTCATATTGTTTTGAATTTATATAAGTGTAGGGACTTAGTGTAATACACAATTCAAACCTCAAAGCTAAATCAAAGTAACTATAGTGAATTTTGAAAATATAAATGGACCCCACACTAATTAGGCGTTCTGCTCAACTTGAACTGTTAGGCTGATGCCCAACAACAGTTCGTTGCAATTGGTACTTTAGATATGGACAAACCATCTCTTGTAAATTATTTCAATCTTTTTGGAAACTAAGTAGATTACGTTTAAGGTTATCTACTAAGGTAACACTATTAATAAAGGGAGATGAATAATTAATAATAAGTTCAACGTCAATGATTT